AACTTCATATAGGTAGTCACATTTCTGGGAAGAGTATATTTTTCAGGCCCTCCTCTGTAGGACATCAGCCCACTCCACTAATAGATGTGTTGCTCGGTCATCATAAACTTGAAAACCTCCGAGGCATACACAGCTGGCTTCCAATCAGTAGCTTGGAGCAGAATGTTCCTTTGCCATTCAGGAACCTCTAGGATTGTTATCCTCCAGAAGGTGGAATGCCTGAAAAGACTGAGAAAGCTTAGGAAGTAAACACCCACACACACCAAGGCTAAAATGGTCTGTAACTTTTAAACATATAGCATTTGTAAATTTCACCTTACCATTCTGTGCTCAGCCTTTTCACTCTGCTTAACTGTGTTATGTGCACAGAGCACCTGGGATTGTAAGCGTTGCTCTCAGAATATATTGAAGCTGAGTTTTAGAAAGCTTTTTTTTTTTGCCTTGCGATTCAAAATGTAACTTTTTCAGAGGATGTACTTAACCTTTTCTGAAGTACTGAGATAATAATGTACTATTTGATGTCTATTTTCAGGCCTTTCCACTTCTGCAGCCTAGCAAGAGCCAGGGATTTTGAACAGTCATGAAGCAGTCCAAAAGGATGCCTGTCCATGATGAACTTATGGTGAATATCTTGGATAGGGCCAACAAGCAGGTACAGTACCAAAGGGAAAAGGATTCACGGCTAGGGAAAAGGCACAGACAGGTTGCAGAGTATAGGAGAGATTTGCAGTGTAGTTTCTAGACCAGGAATGGTGACTGAAGGAGGAAGATGGAGCAGAGCAGAACACAGCAGAAAGACATGTTTGCTGCTTGCGCTAATGGCCATGGTCAGGCTCCTGCACCACATCCTGAGTCCCCTCCACAGTACCTCTCCACAGACCAGGAATGCATTGGTGAATACTATGGTTGGGTTGCCCCTAAAAGTGGGAGTGAATGCTAATTGGACAGGGCACACATAACCCCTGCAGTCTTCCACTGTCATTTAGTGCCAAGTGCATGCTGAACGTGGTAGAAAGGGAAAGTAGAATGGGGCCAGGAGACATGCAGAAGTAGGGAATTTATTTGTTTGCATTAGTTACACTGTTTTGCACTGCTCAGTATTTGTTATGTGCTTTGATTCATTACTAGCTTTGGTGTTTTAATGGCAGCTGGCCTGCCTGACAATTCTTTAACATTGTTTTATTTTCTTTGTTTTTTGTAATACAGCCATGTTAACATTTGTCATTAAGAAAGTTCATTACCTTCACTGTATCCTATCATGTACACTAAGTGTATTGAAAGAATAAAGATAAAGACATAATAAGGCACAACTAGGAAGTTGTATCCAAACACAATTTCTCAATACATCTTTTCAGATCAATCCATAATGAAAATCCACAGTTCATGTCACAAAAGGCAATGCCCCCCCATTACATAAGCAATCATCTAAACCATGACTAAAAATTCATGACAATCACATTCCCTCCCCACACACTAACACCGTACGCAGACAGTACTTCATTTACTGTTAACATTGCTGTACAAATAGATTAATCAACATACCATTCTCCCTCTTCCATTGTTCACACAGAGACAGAATGTGGGTGTACAAAGCCACTTGATTCTATGACAGAGGCACTTTTTGGCTGAGTGTACAGTTCATTACTCCATTATTGTCACTCAAGGGCAAATGGCTCACCTTTAGAGTCACAAAAATTGTGGAGGCGACAGCAAGCCACAATAATGTGGACAACATTGATGACAATGGAATCCAAACCGTTCCGTCAACAGTGCCAGTGGGCTTTCAATCTGCCAAAAGCCCAACCACCATTCTAAACCTACTGAGAATGTAATTAAACCTTCTTTTGCCAAGACCTCTGATATCAGAGTATGCTTTCATAAGTAATAGCGTGTACCCGGGGTCCCCCAGCACAATGGTGAGGACAATAATTCCATTTATGACACTGTCATTTGTTGGCGATAGTGTCCCAGTCTGTCTATGAATGTATACTCCCAATCAGCAGAGAACCCTGACATGAATTTTTCAGTTCAGCCCATTCTGGCATCCAAAAACTGTGGCCTCTGTGGTCAACAAAGTCCTGTATAACAATGGAGTGTAGTATCATTTAGGGTTTATGTGCTCACGTGCTCCTTGAGGAGGATAAACTATGGGCACATGGGTCCCATCCGTGGTCCTGGTTTAGTTAGGAAACCCCATTCTCTCAAAACCAGCAGTGACTTCAGGGACATTGTTTATGCTCACCACCTTTGGGTAAATCACACACCTCAGAAATCTCCACCACCACAGCCAACTTGCTAACACCCAACTGGTTAGCAATGGACCTGTGGCAGTCTGGGGTAGACAGCTTCCAGATTGTTATCTCAACCCGTTTCTGGACCAGCATGACCACCCTTGTGGGAGTGTCCTCCCACTGGAGAATCAGGGCAAGCTGCTCACAAAACTCCAGAAATGTCACTTTCTTCATGCAAAAGTTCTGTAGCAATTGCTGCTCGTCCCAGGTCCATACAGTGATGTGATCCCACCAGTCTGTACTTGTGGCCCTGCTCCAGAAAGACCAGTCTTCATCGGGGCATCAGCAGCTACACTAACAATCATGGGCAGTATCAGCCAGTTCAAGTCTGCTATATTTGTTTTGTCATCATCTTTGTCCTCTTCTGACAGCTGCCTTCGGCAGATTAGAAAATGCTGCCAAAATGTCCACCACAGCCTCATGCCTGCTATGCCAATTTCCTGACACAAGAGTGAAAGCAGGACAATTTCTTCAAATGGTATTGCCTCCACGTTGCTGGCTCTGGTTGCTTGGAGCGTGAAGACCCAAAAGACAGGTTCAGTTGGATGCGCTGGCAGGCTGTGACAACTTCCTATAAAGTGCCACAGGATGGACAGTCAAATTGTCCCACTGTGCACAAAGGGCTAGAGTGGTAGAGCTGGAGAGGGCACTAGGAAGCCTGGGATAGGCTGGTTTGACTCAGGTTTGTGTAGTGCAGTGTGGACACATGAGTGTGAAATCCAGGTCCAGAAATTCTAACCTTAGGGTCAATATTCAGGGTGTACATTCAAGCACAGGCTTACAAACACTGAGTCTGTGGGCTCCAGTCCCACAGATCTGGGCTTCCATTGCAGCATAGGCATACCCTTAGAAGTGAACAGACTCCTTAATTATTAATCAGTGATGTGTGACATTATTTTGTGTACTGAGCTCTAAATCTAACAATGAATAATTATTCATATTTTCAAATCTGAAGGGTATAGTTTCCTTCACTTTTAATGAAAGACGTACATAAAGTTTGTATCCCTAAAATATATTTTACTTAATCATATATATTTCTCTATATAAAGATTAAATGGAGCTTCAGCTATGATTGTACAGTTCTTTGACCAGATGTGCTATGCTAGGAATCCTAACATTGTATGTAGTTCCCAGAAAATTATCTGGACATAGAAAAGTAAAGACATTATAGAAAACCTGGCATTTTTTCTTGTATTACAGTGTGCTAAGTCCTACACTAGTTTGCTAAGAAAACAGAAAAAGTAAATGTATATGAATTAATATGCATAAATGTATATGCCTTCATCTAACAAAACTTATTTTTACACACACATTCATATCCTCTATATTCAAAATACATAACTTTCAGAATGGAAAATAGAAATACTGTACAATACTTAAACAATGTATGTTCTTAATTGTCTATGCATAAAAAAATTGCAGGAGGAACATTATCGGTTTTTACATTTTATTAGAAATCAATTATAAATTAACTTGACAGTGAGAGATTAAAAATTCCATACTGGAAAAAAGTTCAATAATGAACAAGTTAACTGTTCTTGCTCATGAAGCACAAGAATCCAAGTAGCAAACTAGAGCAGACTAGTGGCTGTTTAAGCAAACTGCTACCAAAATTATTTTTAACCTATGCCTAATGAACAGCGATTAGCATTGAAAAATATACACAAGTCATGGAATAGACTATATTTCATCACTATATAAAATGCTTTGTAGTTGTTAAGGAGTTTATTAATGTAATAGTATAAAGCCTTAATTCCCCTAAACAGTGGATTCCTTATTTAAAACTATTGAACCCTCTGAACTGAGAATGAAACTGTGTTGGACTTTTTAAAAATGATCAAGTATGCACAAAGTATCAAGAACATCTAAATCTGTGATGAAGCACCTGTAAGACATTAACTTGTTTAGTAACTGGACAGTTTCAAGCCTAATAATATCTTTACAAGTAAAGAATTAGTTAAACACCAGAGCTCCTGTGGTGATCTGGTGAGTGAAGTCCTCTGATACTGCTGTGCATATGTTATGCAAGGTTATAGTATCCATGCCATTTGAACAAATGAAGATTTCACCAAATTAAGACGAGTGTTTAAAAATAATCTCAGCATGTTCCATCAAGTGTGAATTGGAAACCAAGGAGTTTCACATCAAACAAAACAGGAAAACCCAATTTCCTTTCTGTTCTTGCACAGTCTGAGCTCAGGCATGCAGCACCCAGGGCTATGAAAGGCAACCTTTGACATTCAACAGAGGACTACGGTGAATGTGCATGTAAGGGGTCCCTTCTCCCCCCAGTAAAGAAGGGGAGTGTCATATTTCAGTCCCCCCCCCCCGCCCGCCCCACCCAGCTCCTGCTTGGGTGGGGGAAACCCTGAGGGGACTGGGATGTGTCAGCGAGGGGCCAGGGCAGGCATAGAGGCAAGAAGTGTCCTTAGAGAGCGGCGCCCCTCAAAGCTCCGCGAGCCAGGCTGCTCCTCCCGCCCCCGGGAACACGCAAGGACACGGACTGCCCCGGGGCCTTGCCATCCCGCCCGGCGCTGCCGCCACCTGTATCCCTCCCAGTGCAAGCGCCCGCGCTCTGCTGCCATTGGACGCCGCTGCCTACCGAAGCCTGCTAGGCACAAAAGGCGTTGCTAAGTGAATGCTTATTTTGTTTCCCTCCTTTTTTTTTTCCTTCCCCTCTTGCGCCCCCCCCCCTTTACTGATGAGAGCCTTGATTCACTTGCAACGTGTCAATTGCACTGGCTCTCTCGCTGCTCTTCCCTCTCCCCTTTTCTTTTTTTTTTATCTTCCGGGGATGGTGACTTGGTAGCTGGGTGGCTTTTTAGTGACATCCAGAAAACCCTTCCCAGGCAAGCGATGGCTTAGAGAAGAAGAAGAAGAAGAAGAAGAAGATGAGTTTCCACAAGGAGGATGGTGTGGGGAGCCTGTGTCACAAGGCGCTGCAGATCATCTCAGAGCTGTGCCTGGGGGGACAGGTGGAGCGGGAGAAATGTTCAGGCATCTTCTTCCCCTTGGAGACCACCAAGCAAGGTATAGGCAGCACAGGTACAGTGGACTCTCTGCAGAGCCCCCCTCTCCTGCTCCTCTCTCGTCTTCTGCTGCTTCCCCCCAGCTTCTTTCCACTACCCTCTCCCCCCCCCCCCCCGTCCCCGTCCCCCTCACTCTGCTCCTTGCCTCTGCTTCGCTTCCTTGGTGCAAAGAGGGGGGAACACCCGTGTGGGACGGTTATCTACTAATAGCAGCGGCAGCAGGTTGTGTGGGCGTTCGGAAAGTTGAACTTTTTCTTTGCTTTGCCTATGAAGGTGGAGGGGGGCGGGCGGTGGGAGAATCCATGTTAAAATAACAATAACCAGAAGCAGTTTGTCTTCAAGTGCTCAGGACCGCACTCAGCGCAAGCACAGCAAACGCTGGTGCCCAAGAGTCTCATTTGCTCTGTACGGCGCTGATTATAAAGCAGAGCTCCGGGAAGGTTCCGACGTTGTGCTGAGGGGCTGCTGCTGTAGCGATGCTGCAGAGCGTGAGGACAAGAAGTACAAAGGAAAGGAAAATGCTGCTGGGGTGGGGGGGGGGGCGTCAGGACCTTGGATCAGGGAACAGGGAGTGGAGGAAAGAGAGAGAGAGAGAATCACCCCCAGAGTGAAAGCCCAACAGTTGGTTGGATTTGTGCAACAGGAAATATCCCGCCTTGTATCCCATCTCCTTTCCCCTCTTTCCAGTGCTAGTCTTCCCCTCCCGCGCACACACACTTGAACTTCCATTGTTAATTGTTTCGTGCTTTATCTGCAAGGAAATTTTCCTTTCTTAAGGCTGGAAAACTATTTGCTCCTGTTGCACCGATGTAGGAAGGGGGAAGAGGCTGCTGGTTTAGTGTTATAAACAATGGTGTATGTTCCGGGGGAAGGAAGTGTTAGTCTACATGTATGATTTACCCCACGTCTCCCCTTCTCTGTTCTTCCCAGTGGCCCTTATTTTTCCTTGCGATATTTCGAGCACACGCTTTCAGTCGGGCAGCCACCAAGCCAACAGGTTGTATGAATTGGAAGCGCTTCAAATGAAGGCTTGCTCTACATAACATTGCTCAAGATTTAGAGGGAGTGGAGGGAAGGAAATGGACAGGAACCCTATTCACAGAGCCGAGACACGGTGTTTAGATGTTTTTTAATGTGAAAACCCGATTTTTGTTGTTGAAGTTTTAACTATGAAAAAAAGTATATTGTGTTATAGTTATGGGAGAAAAATATCCTGGGGGACCCCAAACCAATCCATCAATATATCTTTGTGTGCACTTTCGGCTGTTTCTGGATGACCAGCTGTTGCAGCGATCGCTTACTGATGATAAAGCCATAAAGCCTGGCAACACCAAGGAGTTTTATGAATGAAAGGAACAGATATTTTAATAAAATAGTCCCATAGGATGAGCCCTCGTTTAAGGGTGAAGTTGTTGTTAAGGATGTGTATTTTACATTGCCTAGGTTTCATGGGAATGTACAAATGGAAACCTGTAGATTCAGTGAAGTGCTTTGGGGTCAGATCTGTTCTAGGATCCATCAGGGAAGACTTGAAGAAAATAAGGGACTGATTTAAATCCTCAGAAGCAAGATAATCTATCAAAGGTGAAATTGTCTTGTTTTGCCTAGTTAACGGAGCTCAAGTGGTACCATATTTGGACACTTACTATTTGTACCTCGGCACATCAAGGTTAGGGAATGAATTTCTGATTAATTTCTGCATTGTCCCGGGTTTCTGGCTCAATTCAGCTCTCTCACCTTACTTTGTCATAGTTCATGATTCCGTTGCCTTTTCTATGGTAATGTTTTTAAAGGGAGCGTTTAAAAATTAAGCTAATTTTTGGTGCTTTATTCTTATGCCCTCGCAGGCGGGACCTGAACAACAGAGAAAAATAATAAACATGTAGTTTAAAAATCATTATGAAAAGCAATAGCAGTATTATAAATGTCCCACCTGTTTGTTTTTTTTCTTTTAATGCCCAAAGTCTTTAGTGCATATTCAGCAGTAAGGTGGAGTTTTATAGCACTCAACAATCCCACTTCAGAACAGAGAAACTTCCCACCTAAAAAGAGAGAGGAATGAGGATCTAATTTTTTTCCAACTCCTGTTGACAAAACCAAAACAACCATAACAACAACCACCCTTCTAGTTCTTTCTCATAGGCTAAGGCACCGTGTGCCAAGTTTTATTCTAAGGTTTATTTACACACCTTGAATACAAGGATCCATAATGAAATCTCTCTAATCAAGTTAACGCTAGCTGGCGCCTCTGGATCATTTTATGTGGTTATTTACCTGAGCCAAGAACAAAGGAAGTGATTCTACTGCTGTTGGAGTTGTGGGAAAAGTCCCAAAGTTTCCAGTGGGAACAGAATCCAGCAGGAAGTTTATCTGCATCGATGGGGGGGAGGAAGGGGGAGAAGACGTGTATGTATTTCAATGTGTCTGTGTGCGCGAGGAATACATACAATATAGTACATGCTATAAATGGATAGACAGATTAATAGACTGTGTATGCGAAAGTGTTGCTAGTGGATGTGATTGATTATTTTTCATTTGGTTGAACTACACAGTATTCCCACTAGCATTTTTAATTAAATATAGTATATTTTAGCATATTTGTTATAATCCATCATATGTTAATTATCTTGATCCAGATTGAATCATATCAAATGGAGATGTAGTTGGTGTTGAGCTTCAAAATCTTACAGTAGGGTTGCTTTACTTGTAGTAAAATAGCACCTAGTGCACTGTATATTAATTTTTGAGGGTCATTATTAATTTTATTTTAACAAACATAAATGTAATATAAAGGAATAATATATGAAAGATACAAAGGTGCTCTCCAAGGTACTGATAAAGCAAATTATCCTGTTTAGACATTTAAATTCAGCACCTGTTTTCATATTAGATTGCATACCTTCATTTTTAGCATTTCTTCAAAGCCAGCAATTTTATCAGTATTTTAAATTCATAATGCTTAACCAATTTGCAGCTGTTTGCCAAAAGGCCTGGGATTTTAAATTTTGTATTCTGCGGCAATAACAATTTGTCATGAAGTAAAAATGGCTGAGGTGAGAATATAAAATTGCTTGCTCATAAGATTACTAGAAACACATCTTACATAAAAAATAATGCTAGAGGATGTATTTTCTAAATTATCAGGATATTAGATTACATGTCTTCCATTTGATGAATGCTTGATAAAATTTTAACTTCTCTTCAGCAAATACATTGTCTTGAGTATATCTACATCATTTTAATAAGCTATAGAATCTTAGGGCATCTTCACATGAATAAACATAAAGCATGTTTTAAAATAAAGGCATTCTTTTCTGTAGTATGACATTTTCTTCATTTCTCATCAATATGTAGATGTGTGTTTTAAAACTCACTAACATTTTTAAACTGTTCCTTACATTAAATGAGACCACTAATGCACTGATAAAAGACATGATCCAGCATTTCTTCTTCTTCAAGCAAAACTTCCACTGAACTCACTGGGTGCTGGACCGCAAACCCCTAACTCTCAGTGGTGAACAGTTGCTCTATGAGTAGTGCTATTAAAGTCCAAAAGAAAAGGAGTACTTGTGGCACCTTAGAGACTAACCAATTTATTTGAGCATGAGCTTTCGTGAGCTACAGCTCACTTCATCAGATGTTTACCGTGGAAACTGCAGCAGACTTTATATACACACAGAGAATATGAAACAATACCTCCTCCCACCCCACTGTCCTGCTGGTAATAGCTTATCTAAAGTGATCAACAGGTGGGCCATTTCCAGCACAAATCCAGGTTTTCTCACCCTCCACCCCCCACACAAATTCACTCTCCTGCTGGTGCTAGCCCATCCAAAGTGACAACTCTTTACGGGCTATTTCCTGCATAGATCAAGGTTTTCTCACATCCCCCCCACCCCCATACACACACAAACTCACTCTCCTGCTGGTAATAGCTCATCTAAACTGACCACTCTCCAAGTTTAAATCCAAGTTAAACCAGAACATCTGGGGGGAGGGGGGGGAAAAAACAAGAAGAAACAGGCTACCTTGCATAATGACTTAGCCACTCCCAGTCTCTATTTAAGCCTAAATTAATAGTATCCAATTTGCAAATGAATTCCAATTCAGCAGTTTCTCGCTGGAGTCTGGATTTGAAGTTTTTTTGTTTTAAGATAGCGACCTTCATGTCTGTGATTGCGTGACCAGAGAGATTGAAGTGTTCTCCGACTGGTTTATGAATGTTATGATTCTTGACATCTGATTTGTGTCCATTTATTCTTTTACGTAGAGACTGTCCAGTTTGACCAATGTACATGGCAGAGGGGCATTGCTGGCACATGATGGCATATATCACATTGGTGGATGTCAGGTGAACGAGCCTCTGATAGTGTGGCTGATGTTATTAGGCCCTGTGATGGTGTCCCCTGAATAGATATGTGGGCACAATTGGCAACGGGCTTTGTTGCAAGGATAAGTTCCTGGGTTAGTGGTTCTGTTGTGTGGTATGTGGTTGTTGGTGAGTATTTGCTTCAGGTTGCGGGGCTGTCTTTTTTTATGGCTGATTTAGAACAACGCTTCCTCAGCTCTCGTCCCCTAAAGCCCCTACTCTACTTGCGCTATATTGATGACATCTTCATCATCTGGACCCATGGAAAAGAAGCCCTTGAGGAATTCCACCATGATTTCAACAATTTCCATCCCACCACCAACCTCCGCCTGGTCCAGTCCACACAAGAGATCCACTTCCTGGACACTACAGTGCTAATAAACAATGGCCACATAAACACCACCCTATACCGGAAACCTACTGACCGCTATTCCTACCTGCATGCCTCCAGCTTTCACCCTGACCACACCACACGATCCATCGTCTACAGCCAAGCTCTGCGATACAACCGCATTGCTCCAACCCCTCAGACAGAGACAAACACCTACAAGATCTCTGTCAAGCTTTCTTACAACTACAATACCCACCTGCAGAAGTAAAGAAACAGATTGATAGAGCCAGAAGAGTTCCCAGAAGTTACCTACTAC